GACCGCTCCCCTGGACCGTCACCCTGCCCCCCTGGACCACCACCCGGCCCACTTTCTGAACATTTGGAATACTTGTGCAGCCTCTAGTCATACAGGCTGGTTTTTAAAGGCAGCCCGTCAGGTCAGTGCCAGGCAGCTGGTGTTGTCTATGGGACAAAGGCAGCGTTTCCTCCACTCTGGCTCTAGATTAGCCCCCAGGACAAGGGTATTGTCCCCTCGTGTTCCCCGTTAGTGGAGGGTGTGCGCTAGTTAGCCAGCCCTTTCTGCAGTTGGCCTGCAGCCTCCCCCCTCAGTCCCTCCTGGGGGGTGGGAGCTGCTTCCTTTGAAAAACCATCATTTTCACAACCTCTGCACTTTGCATAATGAGCTGCTTTTCCATAAAAGCCTCAATTATGCTTCTCAGAGGCTGATGAATGGTGACTTCGTCTGAGGCCCACCCCGTGCCTGCGGTGGGGGCTCGCAAGCTTGGAGAGAATGCACCCCTCCAGATGGAGGGATGCCCCAGTTTGGAGATGTCATGGCTGTGAATGACTGTGAGGAGTGAGGTCTTTTGTGATCAGTCAAAAGGTGAGGCCAGGGTGCCCTGAGCCCCAGCCATCAGTCCAGTGTAGGGAGGATGCTTCTTGCAAACACTCACTGAGTGAGGCAAGGGTGCCCTCAAACCCTCTGTCTCTTCTTCTGTGGGTTGGGGTGCTCCCGCCCCTTGCTAGTTCTCTGATCTGAAGGGCAGATCATGGTGTGCTTGGCAGAGCAGGGTGTTAGGAAGCGACCCCGCTGGCTGTTAGCCAGTGAAGGAGGTGGATGTATCCATGCCTTTAGCCCCAGATCTGGTGAGCATGTCCCTGTATGGAAGGAGGGCCCCTGAAGATGTCATGGTCCAGGTTCTCAAGATGAGTCCACCCTGGGGTATCCAGGTGGATCTCCTAATCCTGACCTGTGTCCTTGAGAGAGAGAGAAGACGCAGACACAGGAAGAGGCTACATGAAGATAACTAGAGGCTGAGAGCTGGGGCCACAAGCCAGGGACCACAGGGGCCCTAGGAATTGGGGAGGTGGCAGAGGGTCTGCCCTGAAACCTACCTCTCCTCCCATGAGTTTGGACCACCGGCTGCAGAGCTGTGGGAGGCTGTGCATGGGTTGTTTGACCACAGGGTCCGTGGAAGAGAGCTGGGCAGTGTTGGCACTTGTAGTAATGGGTACCATTGTTCGCTGCAGAGCGGTGTTTCCTGGGGTGAGGAGGGGTGAGATGAGGAGGCAGGTCTATCTGATGTCATCTGCCTGTCTCAGCAGGTCACCCTTTCTCAGAAGGGCCTTGCTGGTGGACATGCAAGGGCTACTTTGAACAGCTCTTCTCTGAGTGGGAGTCAGTGCAGGTGTGAGGGGCTGGGAGGGGGTGTCACAGGGCCTGGGAGGGGATGATACTGGGGCTGGGAGGGGGTGACACTGGATGGGAGTCCGTGGAGGTATGAGGGGCTGTGGGGGGGTGACACTGGGGCTGGGAGGGGATGAAACTGGGGCTGGGAAGGGGTGACACTGGATGGGAATCCGTGGAGGTATGAGGGGCTGTGGGGGGGGTGACACTGGGGCTGGGAGGGGTGACACTGGGTGAAAGTCAGTGCAGGTACGAGGGGCTGTGGGGTCTGACACTGGGAGGGAGTCATTGTGGGCAGGAGGAGCTGAGGGGGTGTCTTGGGGGTGTGAGATTCACGCTCATACTTTGTGACTTCTGGGGTCTTCTCCCCAGATTCCTGAGGACGTATTGGAGACCATCTGACAGTACAAGGCCTACTGTGTGCCGTCTCTTGTGGAATGAGGGTGCTGGGCAGGCTGCTTGGGGCAGTCTTGGGGCCTCCAGCCCCTCCCAGCTTTTCTGGGACTCCGGGGGTCCCCACTGCAGGAGGCGGGGCGGTACAGTTTGTGGCCTGTGATATGACATAGAAGCTGGTGCTCAGAGAGGAGAGGCTGGTTCCTGCAGGTCGGTGGGAAGTGACCACGTGAACTAGTTGGGGTCCCCTTGACCTCAGCACAGCCCATCCTTTCAGAATTTCACATGGGGTGTCTGGGGGCCACCCCAGAGCCCTGGTGGGGCAATGTGATGTGTATGGGGCTGTTAACTGAAAGGGTCAGTGGCTCAAATCCACCAGCTGCTATTTGAGGTGAAATTGACTTGGGGGCAGTGGATTTGGTTCTGTGGGGGGACACCTTGGAATCCTGGTGGCAAAGTGGGTTAAGTATTGGTTTGCTGAGGCAGAGGCCACAGGTCAGTGGTCTGAGGTCACAGCTCTGGGGCGAGGAGGTGGCAGCCCTCTTCTGTGATGATGACACCAGGAAGCCTGTGGTGGTCACTGCAGGTCAGAACTGACTTGACAGCCATGGGTGGATGGAGACATCTACCTGGTGCTGTCCAAGTGACCCTGGCCGCGTCTCAGAGGACTGGCCAGTCTGTGTCCTGAGCGGATGGCTGGCACAGGGCAGGCGGCAGGCGGCAGGCCGGGGAGGGGCTGGACGTCTCCCAGGACCCAGGAAACTGGAGCTTCTTTCTTTAATTTGAAGCGAATTCTTGGAATAACAGACACACCCGGATCCCTATCTAAGTACAACAGAACATTCTGGAACTAAGAATAGGTGCCTTTCGTCTGCTGGTCTCTGGTTTCCTGGTATGCGAGTGTGGTTGGCTGCAGTGGACCGATGTGGGAGGCTGGTGGTCTTACAAGTGGGAGGCCAAAGGTGTAGGCAGCGTTCGCAGGACATCTACCAGACCCCCATCTTTTTGGGCTCGCTAAGGCCCAGCCTCCTGTCCCCCCACCCCTCTGCTTGGGGACTAGAACATGCCTGCCTGCTCAGTGCGCTGGGGTCCTGACTTCCAGCCCAGAGCTCGCACTGCCTTCCAGGATCACCTAGGAGGTGCCAGGTTTCCCTGGAGTGACCCTGAGTGGCTCAGGGGAGCCTGAGGGAGCATCCTAGGGAGGACAGCTGTGTCCTGAGCCCCAGGCGGAGGGGGAGCCTTTTCTGGACCCCACGGTGCCTCACCCCTCCTGGACACGGTATCCACAGCTTGTCCCTCACCCACGCCTGCCAGGCCCCTCTGCCGTGGCCTGCCTGGCTAGTTCTGGATCACTGGGCTGCCTTGCAGACAGGGCGGGCACCCGTTTACATTCAGCGGCACTTCCTGTCAGGAGCCCAGTCCTCTCTCCCCACCTGGTGACATCAGTCATCCCGCTGCTGTCCTGAGGCCTCGCCTTGGGGTGGGCCTGTCTAATGGGAGGGCCTGCCTTCCTCCTAGCTCCTTGAGTATGGAGACAGCACTATGTGGGCAGTCAGAGAGCAGGGTTGGGAAACGGAATCCCTTCCCCAGGATGGGAGGCCACAGAGGCCTCTGTGGATTTTGGGGATCACGGCTGTGGTCCTGCTTACCCTTCCCTGTGGATCCCACCTCAACGTCGAGAAAACCAAAGTTCTCGCAACTGAACAGTAACCGGAGGAAAGACTGCAGTTTTTAAGGATTCATTTTACTTGGATCCATAATCAAGATCCAGGAAATCATGAAAAATCGGCTGCCAAGGACATCTTTAAAGTGTTAATGAGCAAGGATGTCACTTTAAAGACTAAGATGTATCTGATCCAAGCCATGGTATTTTCAGTTGCTTCATATGCATGTGGAAACTGGACAATGAGTAGGAAGTTTGATTGGAGAAGAATCAAAGCCTTTGAATTGTGGTCTTGGTGAAGGTTATGGAATAGTCTGGAGACCTTTCATCTCAGTCCTGGGGCTGGAAGTGACTCAGCTCACTTGACCTTGGGTTTCCAAGGCTCGTCGTCTTTCTCCCACAGAGCTGCTGGTTAAGCCTCCCGAGAGGCTGCCCCTTAGGTTAGTGATGTCCCTGGCAAGGACCCAGAAGAACAGTCTGGAAAGAGGAGTCGTCAGGGGGCTCCTGAGAACCAAGGTGGTGAAACACCTCATGAACTTTGGAGGTGTTGTTAGGACGGACCAGTCTTTTGGAAAAGACCACATGTGGGCGAGGAGGGTGTCAGAGGAGAGGGAGACCCCAGGCCGTGGACAGGCAGCGTGGCTGTGAGCCTGTGCTGCAGGGGTTGGTCCTTGAAGTCAGGGTGAGTCGGTGGGGACTGGGCATGCTGAGCACAGCCCCTCTCCCCAGGCCTCCTCCCTCTCGGCGTCTGTCTTTCCTTTCCTCCCTCTGCCTTCTTGGCCGTGAGCTCCTGCTCGTCTGTCTCAGGGTGGCATCGTGGGCTCCTGTGACCGCCCGCTGTGGTAGCGTGAGGTTGGGGCCAGCCTGCCCCCGGCACACAGCTAGTGCTCAGCCGTGGGGAGTGGACGTGTGGATGTGACTGTGCTCACTGGGTGAGAAGCTGGCTGTTTATTATCCCCCAAGACCCCCAGTATCCTTGTTCGTGAAGTTGGGGTCACAGAGGTCTGAATGTCGGGCGGCTCTTAGTGCAGGACCATACCCGCCACCTCTGTACCTCCTCCTCCTCCTCCTTGGCAAACAGGGCTCTCTCCCCCACCTTGTGGTCCTTGTCCACTCCCACCTGCAGCTCTGGGGCCTCACGCCGGCTCCCCCAGGCCTCCTGGCCACTCAGGCACCGAGGACTCGGAATTGCTCCTCCTGGTGGTGGGAGGCAGACAGCTCAGGTCACCACAGAGGGAGGATGATCTCACTAGCACATGTGCCAAGACCAAGGAATCGTGTTGATGAGACAGGAGTGTGTGGATCACATGCCTGCCGTGGGCATGGGGGGGCCCGGGGCCATCCCGGGCTGGTGCGGGGGAGCTCGGCAGAACACACCAGGTCTTCTGGCTGTGTCTCAGAGCTGACTCCCAGCACTGGGCACTCATCCAGGAAGGTCCTCGGCCCCTGCTTCTGCAGATGGGGAAACTGAGGCAAGAAGGATGGCACTGTATAGGCGACATGAAGATGGCAATCACTATCTAAGAAACCAAGGGACAGACTGCTGTCAAGGGCCTCTTTAAAGTGCTGAAGAGAGGGATGCCAGCTAAAAGACTAAGGTGTGTCTGATCTAAGCCATGACCTTTTCAGTTGCTTCGAATGCATTTGAAAGTTGGACAGTGAATAAGGAAGACTGAAGAAGAGTTGGTACCTTTGAGTTGTGGTGTTGAAGGCTACTGGACATACTGTGGGCTGCCAGAAGAACAAACCAGTGTGTGTGGGAGGACAGCAGCCAGGGTGCTTGTGGGAACACATCTTCCCATCAACTTACCTCACAGTTTCATCACCTGCTTTATGACCATCCACTTATCTATCCATCACTCCCCGTGTACTTTCCTCTTTTACATCATCCCATCTGTCCATCTCTTCCCCTCCACGTTCACCTCCTATCTTTAGGCCACCTGTGCTCGCAGGCACGTTCACCCATCCACTTGGCCACCCACCCACCTGTCCACCCATCACCTCACCCATCTGTCTGTCAGTCCACCTGTGTAGTCACCCACTCACTTGTACATGGATACTCCCTCCCTCCCACCCACTCACCCACCCAGCCACCCGTCCCATCTGGAGCCATTCACCTCTCCATCCCCCTACTTCTCCACTTACACCTTTGTCCACCCATGCATTCCCTCCTGAATCTGACTACCCAGCCATGCATTCTGCTCATCTCCTTACCATCCACTCCTCCCCGTCCATCCATCCTCCTGTCTGTCCACCCACCTATCCCTCCATCCACCCCCAGTGCATGCATCCGTCCTTCTACCCGTCCATCCACTTATCTACCCATCCGCACCCACCCATCTCTATTCATCTACCCATCCATCCATCCTTCCACCCATTCATCCACGTATCTCCCCATCCACTCAACCACCCAGCCAGCCATCAGTCACTCACTGTTGACTCTTCCCACCCACTCGTCCGTCACTCTATTCCTGTGGGCCTTTCTGTGCCACGTGCTGTGCTAGCCTGTGGGGGACCCAGGCTGACCTGGAGAAGCTGCCTTATCACACGAGGTGGAACCTGAAGAATGATCTGAGATGAGTGGGTGGGTAGGGGGCTGGGGGCGCAAAGGCAGACTGAACCACATGTGCAAAGACTGGAGCCAGAAGTGGACATGGGGCTTTGTGGCGAGGACACTAACGTGGGGCAGGAAGGGTTGGCAGCGCCTCTCTGTGCATCCCTGTCCCACCTCAGAGCGAGGTCCCAGCAGCTGGGCATGAGACCCTGGACCCTTCCCAGCTGGTCATGAGACCTGAACTGTACTGGGTAGCCTCTGACCCCCCAGGCCACCCGTCCCCTCTCCTGCCACCTGCCGTGAGTAGCTTGAGGCAGAAACAAATTGGATTTGTACCTCCGTTCTCTGGGGGATCTGGGGCCCAGTGGGGATGTTAGAATAAAGCTAGTAAGGGTTTTATAGGCAGCAGGGTGATCCACGTGGCTGCGACACTCCGTGGCTGTGATGAGACACTCCCTCTGATCTCTGCTGGAGAGAGCAGAGAAGGGGCTGGGGAGAGGGCGGAACCAGTCACAGGGAAGACACGGACCAGGGAGGTTCCGATGAACCCATACTCACAAGTTCTTGTGTTTTGTGAAAGAGAGAGACATTTGGAAATTGCCATCATGTCTCCTGTTGTCTGGCACCTGCTGTCTATCTGTCTGGAGAGGCACAGACATCTTCTGTTACATACATTAAAGGGGTCCTGCGTGGATTATGGGGGGATGCTGAGACCACCCCTCACTGTCTTCTCTCCCGCAGGCCTTTTCCTTCCGAGGAGACAGCGGACGATGATGATGTCTACCGCAGCCTGGAGGAGCTGGCCGAGTAAGGCGCCTGGGGGGCAGGGTGGGCTCCGTGGGGTCCGGCCGGTGGGGGGCAGGGACGGACGAGGGAACCTTGCAGCCTCGAGCCTGGTGGACAGAGCAGCGGTTCAAGACACACTTCTGCAAAGCCGCCGGTGGACACATAGGCTTGGTGGCCCCACTGATGGGGCTTCCTGAGAACCTCTGGGCTTTGGTCAGCCCCAGATGGTCAGCCAGCTGGAAGTCCTACAGGGGAGAAGTGAGGTCACCAGGCCTGAAACCAGGCCTGGGTGCTGCTGTCCTCTCTTCAGTCCTGGGAATGGGGAGAGGCTGCTTAGGAAATTTCTAAAAAGGTAAACTTTGTAGAAAGGTAAGCACACGGAGTTCCTGAGGGTCAGGACCCAGGTCAGGTCCTGGCTCTGTGAGGCCTGCAGCATCGTCCTGAGTTTGAGGAAACCGAGGTTCCCAGCGTAGGAGGGCTGGGCTGCTGGCCCAGGTGGAAGGAGCAGCTGAGTGGTGTGAAGTGGCCTTGTAGGCTGGCCAGGTGCCCCCGGCTTCTTCCCACCTGTCCAGACCTGGCCCAGGTGTCACCTGCCTGTGAGCCCTGCATCCCCACCCCACAGCGCCCGCACCCCCATTTGTCGTCCTCTGTGGACTCTGTCCCAGCCAGACCACCAGTGTCTGAGGTCAGGGCCTCCATCTCCTACCGTCCCTGTCGTGGTTACCCCGGGCTCCTGGAACAGGAAGTCCATGGAGCGGGCAGCTTAAGAGAACACGACTTGTTTTTTCACAGTTTTAGGGCCAAGCCACTGAGATAGTGGCTTGATGCCAGATGCTGGTGTTCTAAGGGACTCCTCCTTGGTGTCTGATACTGTGTGTGTGCGCGCGCAGGGATTAGGACTAGAACTTGCAACACACCCTCATTAACACAACAGCAGAAACTCTACATTTCTGAACAGGATCGCATAAGGCCCTACATGGCCAACCTGAACATGGGCTCTGCCTTCTAGAAACATCCTTAGTGGTCAACCAGAGTGAGGCTTTGAGAGTTCTGAGGCCACATGTGCAGAGATGGGGGGCTCCTCTTTGCCTGGGGTCCTGCAGGCCCAGGCAGCTTGGAGTACACTCTCCCCTCTAGTGATCCCCTCAGGGTACTCAGCAGGGCTGTGGGGTGCACGCCTCCCCTCTCGCCCTTCCCCATCGTGCTGCACTCACCGTGACGTGTGTGTGACAGCTGTCCATGTGGCTGTGGTGGTGTGACGGGTCCTGTGACATCAGGGCCTCACCCCAGCGAGCCCCGGGTGATGGTCGCTGCTGCAGACGTGAACCCCAGATTCCGGGAGGGAATGAACTAGAATCTTTGACTTGCGGGAGGTCCCAGCAGCCCAAGTTTAATCAATTTTTCATGCTTTCTCTCCTTCCTGCTTTCACTGAAAAGCACAGTTTCATAGCCTGTGTCTCCAAGGGCGCGGTGTTGATGTTCTGCTGCCAGACCGATTTACAGAGCGCAGCGGCAGCGTGTCCTACCCGGGCCGTGGCCAGGGCGAGGCTGTGTGTTTCCGCGCTTTGGTCCCGGCCCTTGGTCTGGCTCGCTGGGCACTGGGTCATACAGGTGTGAGGGTCCTTCCGGCTGGCGGGCAGACGATGTGATCGAGGTCCCCCCCCCCTACCCCCACCCCTGGCCGGGCCTCAGTGCAGCTCCTTCCCTCTCTTCTGTCCTGGAGCCTGGGACCTGCCTGGCAGTGACGGCCATGAGTGAGCTGGAACAGGCTTCCCCTTGCACATCCGGCCACTCATCCAGTCCTTCACCTGTCCCCCCAGTCAGCTCATCCTGAGCACTTCCTGGGTGCCAGGCCCAGGCCCAGGAGCTAGAGATACAAGCTGGACCTGGCGGATGGTGTAGGTTTGGTCACAGTAAAGCTGGTATCGCCACAGAACGTGTTTGGTCTCCTGGTGTGTGGGAGAGTTAGGACGATGTGCACTGTGGTCTCTGAAAGGCACTGGCCAAACGTGTTACCTGCCGTGCTGCTGACCAGAGTCTAGAGTTAAATGCACTGGCCACTCCTAGGGAGGAATTTGGGCAGTGCCAACACCCTGGACAGCAGGCTGCCCGGAAAGCAGCTGTTTACTGCCGCCACCGTGGGGATTGCTTGTGATACCAGTAAAAGAAATAGTTGACACCTTTATTCCTTTCTTTGTTTATCATGATGTTGTTTATGATGATTTTTGCTTTCTTGATACAAAAGGCTGTAGTCTTTGCTCTTCTGCTCCAAGTGCTTCAAGAACTCTACAGTTTCTGCAAGTGAAGTTGTGTCATTGGCATGACACAGGCTCTTAATAGGGCTTCCTCCACCCCGCGAGCGTGTTTTTCTTCTACCTTCTTAGGATTTTCTAGTGGTGTCGTTAAAAACATAAAGAGGAATGTGAAATATACGTTAAAAACTTTTAACCTAATCTGTCAAAAGATCAGCTGTTGAAACACGCACTCAGTATCTAAATAATTGAAGCGATCCCTTGTCCTCTTTCTTGGTTGTCAGGAGGAAGGCCACTCCGGGTGGCCTGAATCCCAGCGGCTCCAAGGATGGGCCATCTCCCTGCATGCAATTTACAGCCTCAGAGAGCCCACTGGAGGCCAGCTGTGGATGAGTTGGTTCCAACTCGATGGCAGGGAGTTTTGAGTTTAGTCTAAATTGTGCCAAGTCTGTGAGTCCAATGCCCACTGACAACAGTGTACCTGTACTGGTGCCCATTAGCCACGTGTGACCCGCAGCCTGGGCTGTGAAGCTCAGCTTGGGCTCACATCCTCTTCTGGGAGACGGCTGGGTCTGGGAGCCAGGGCAGGGCCCGCCACACTGGAGCAGCTACAGCTCTTTACTCCATTTGAAATGATTGAGTACAGTATTTAGTCTCACATCCTGTAAGAACCCCTCCAGTACCTTCTCCCTGCGTGTAGAATCCTGTAAGGTTAGGATAGGGTTGAGACATCCCCACCAGAGGATAGAATGTAGCAAACATTTGCCCACTTTCCAGGCACGCCTGTCATCTCTTACCATCCTGTGTCAGTGATTGCACCACCTCCAGTGCACACAGAGCCTGAAATGATAGGTCTGGGTGGTAATGAGTACGTGTGCTGCCGTCTGTAAAGCCTCCGTGTGACACGCTTCCATCGGGCTGCAGCCGCCCGCCTCACGCACTGCACGCCTCTCGAGTGCCGGAGTCCTTCCTTTAATTTTCTTTGGAAAATATCTCTGTGAAGTGCATCACTGCCGGCCCTGTGCTAGTGATGGCAGCAGCAGGAGCCACGAAGGTTGTAGGGTGAAACAAAGGTTAGTCAGCACGTGAAGGGAGGGAATCAAGGAGTGACAACAGCAAGCTGCAAAAACAAAGAACAGCCCTCCGAGTGCACTGAGAGCTGTAAGGCGAGGGAGGGAGAGACCCGTGTCAGGTGCAGGGAAGGGGCTGATGTCTTGGATGGGCACGTTTACATCACTCCAAGACCGGGAACTCATTGGAAAGCAGCGCCTGGCTTGCCTCTGAACAATCAGCTGAGTGAGGCCAAAGGGGCAGCATTTGCCCCAGAACAAGGTTTAGAAAGCAGGAAGGGACTGGAAAGAGTGAAGGGAAACAGGGGGAGGGGGGCGGGTTAGGAAGTAGGGAGTGTGCTCTACACTGAGGGGGTTGTAACAGTGTCAGGAAACAAAGTGTCTATACAGTGTGGGAGGAGTAACTAACTTGCTTTCTAAAATTTCCCCCAAACCACAAGAACAGGAAGGGGTAAAGTATTAGGATTAATGGAAACAAGAATCACAGGGAAGAAGTAGGACATATGCTATTACATTACAGTTCTCATTAATATTGTAAGAGAAAATACATGTAAGCACAGTGGAACACAACACCAGTTAGATTTGTAAACTTTCACTGACATGGCTTTTAAAAGAAAAGCTGTATATCATGAAAAAGGAAAGGAAAAAGCGAGACCCACCTCTGACAGGATGACCAAGTGTCAAATCACGTAGCATCTTGGTTTATAGAGTGTGTGGTGGCCTCAGGAGATACAGGCTGTATCAGATTGTAAGAGCTGCTGTTTGGAAAATTAGCAGACAGTAGTGCCCTTGCCGTGGGCGTGATTCTGCCTCTCGGCCGCCTCCCTTCGTGTCTGAGGCTGTCAGTCTTCATGGCAGGAGACACCATCCTTCTCCTATAGAGCTTTTGGTGGAAGCACTGGAGACAGCTGGCCTCTTAGTTGGCATCCCAGGTGTGTGTGAGCATCCCCGTACATCAGGAGCGTGTCAGCATTCCAGGACGGCATCCCTGCCTGCTGGGAGCGTGTCAGTATCCTCGGTCAGCATCCCTGCACACCAGGAGGGGGTCAGCATCCACACACACGGGGAGGGGATCAGCATCCTGGGACAGCATTCCAACACATTGGGAGCAGGACGGCATCCTCGCATGCTGGGAGCCGGGTCAGCATCCTAGGTCAGCATGCCCGCATGCCGGGAAGGGGTCAGCATCCTGGGACCACATCCCCACATACTGGGAGTGTGTCAGCATCCCGGGATAGCAGGAGCAGGTCAGCATCCCGGGACAGCCTTCCTGCACACCGGGAGGCGGTCCGCATTCTGGGGCAGCATCCCCACACACCGAGAGGGGGTCAGCCTCCCTGCACACCGGGAGTGGGCCAGCATCCCGGGCCACCATCCACATACACTGGGAGCGGGTGACCAGGGCCCCTTTGCTGTTTAGAAAGGAGTTCTCAGCACAGGAGGAGCCTGGGTTTGGACTGCTCTCTCTGGTACCCCTTCCATCTTCATAGCGCCTCCTCCCGGTCTATGACACCCCTGTTCCTGTCCTACCCCAGAGCCTCGTGGGAGTTCCCTTACCCTCTTGGGCAGGCGTGGGCCCTGCACTAGGGATGCTTCCTGCTTGTGGCAAAGCCAGGGTGGGCCAGCTGCTAAAGTGTCCATGTGTCCAGCCAGCAGTGCTGAGCCTCAGTTTTCCCACCTGGCATGCAAGCACAGCCCC